CCCCAAAACCCCAAAACCCCAAAACCCCATTTGTATACGAATTACCAATTTTTAGGAAAATAATAATAGTAATAAATTATTTAAATTCAAAATGTTTTCTTCCTTTATAAGCTTTTTAGATGGGCCAGTAGATATAGATGAGTTTTACAACTTCAAAGAACCAAAATAGAACCCACTTAATGATGATGAAGATTTCGAGGACAAACCCTATAATGACTATGAATTTTAGGATGAGATGATGATGATGCCTCCTACTGATGTTTCACTGATAAATCATTCACCTTCTCATCATAGAATTAATTCATCGCAGGATATGAATAATCTTTCAGGAAGGAAAAATTAGAAAAGCAAAAAGTCTACTTCTCGAACTTAATCCATTGATAATCCCTAGATAATATCTTAGTCTTAGGATTTAAATCAGTCTTAGTTCCAGAATATTGGAAATAACCGTGGAGGGATATAGAGTCTCAATACAACTACCCTTTCTTATATTGATCATAGGAACAATACTTCAAAAAGTTTTTTAAATGGACCTCAGATATCGGCTTTTGATAGATTGTATTATTCAGGTTTGTAGAGAAAAGCATCTAAGGAGAGAAGAATGAAAGAAAAATAGGATATAGAAGAGGTGCAAGAACTCTCACTAATGCAAAAACAACCAAAGATTTCACTTATTTCATCTGAAGTGGCTAAGACTCTCAGAGAGAGACCAAAGATGAATGATTTCTTGGAGTACTCTATGGAATGGTAGAAGTTGAGAGATGCTAAAATACAGTAAGCGAAGATGATGTAGGAGACTAAGATAGTTGAGGAAAGTAAACCTGTTAACTTTAATGGTAGCAATAAAATCATTGGAGATAACTATAAAGGAGTGGTGAGTGGCTACTATGATCAAGTTAATAAGTTCTTTGAAAGAAAGAGGCACAACTTAGAGCTAGGTCAAGCTAAGCCAGAGGGTATCCCTTAGATTAAAGAATATAGGAAAAAATCTCGATCTAAAAGTGCGACTAGACATCCATTAAATCCTTAGGCTAATGTTTACAATCTGAGTAGAAATTAACAATAGCATGATTTACCTACTCTGACAAGCAAAACTGATTAGTAACATACTCTTAACACCATAATGCATAATACATCAGATGTTGATGAGTTTGCTACATTTTTATCCATCCCTAAAAAATCTTAGATAGATGATTATTTGGACTAAAATGTGGAGTAGAGGTTAATTAAGAAGGGTCAAGAATACAAAAATAACCTAAATCACAAAAGGCATGAAGTAATACAAGACATGATAAGGGAAGGACCTACATTTCAACCTAAGCTAATAGCCAACAACGAAGCTTATTTAAAGAATATAAGAACTGAAGAGGATGTTACTAAAAGATAAAACGATATTGGTAGCCATATGTATTGTTAGGCTATGGTATTTTTGATTAATAAATAAACCAAGATAATTGAGAACAGGAAAGTTTTATATGAATAATAAAGAGTACCTGAAGTTAATGCTAAATCAAGGGAGATGTTGCAAAATATTATTAGAAAACCTCTATATGAAATTAGTCAACCTAAAACTAATACTGCTAACTCTGATCTCCAAAAGAAATAGTAAGATCCAGAGGTTGTCAAAAGAAAGAAGGAAAAAATGGCAGATTTTATTTAAAGAAATTATGAACGAGAAATGAAGGCAAAGGCTTTAAAGGCTGAAATTAATAAGAAAGAGACAAATTCAATAGAGTCATTATAAAAATAAGGGATCGTATTTAAGCCTCAACTATCAACTGGTACTATGAATCTAATAACATAGAGATAATAAAGATAAGCCCCTACCTTTGAAGAGTTATATAGAGAGGCAAACATAAAACGGCTTAAACATAAAGAGTTAGTTGCTAAAAATGAAAAAGAAAAGTAACAGTAAGAGTTAAAGGATGCCCCTTTTAAGCCAACAATCAATAAATCTAGCATATAAATTATCTAGCAAAAGGTAGCGGCGACACCATTTTAATAAACAAATCCTATTGTGAATCCAAAATTGCAATCATAGTCCTAGAAATATGAAAAGTTAAATGATAAGAAATAAGCATTATAGAAATAATAATTAGAAAAAGTTTAGCAAAAGAATGGGGCGAACAATTCTTATCTTTAAATGCACTACTAAAATTAACAAAGAGATCAGCAATAGAAATCAAATCAGAAAGTGGGAGGAGATCTGACTAAGAATGTGTCATTCGGTATGAAAAATTATGCTTCCAATTCCAGCATTACGTATTCCTAAACATCTAATACCTAAAATTTTCTATCTGATAAAAAAGGTAATGAGCTAATATTTGTTTAGTAAATAGATGAAGCAAGCTAAAGCAATATCAATTATGATGAAAAGAGTCCTTATAAAACTGGAGATGATTAAGCCAACAATCTAACTATACAAGAAAGTTCAAGTTAGAGAAGAATATCTCATCTCCTTGGCATCCCACAAATGAACAATAATAGTAATTATGAAAGAAAACGTAGCAGTGAGCTAAACAAGACTATTGAGTCAAATTTACTAGACTTCAATGATGACAGATTGTTTGAGGAAACTTAAAAGCTGGCAGGTGGTGATAAATCATCTCGAACAAGTAGTATTGGAGGAGTAAAACATAGTGATTTTTTAATGAATACTGGCAATTTTGCCTAGAGTTATGGAGATAACAAGATTTAAGGGAATAATAATAGATAAGGTCTAGGTAATTCTATTAGAGGTCCTGATTCAAATGGGCTTGGAGGTACTGCAATGATTGGTGGAACAAATGATGTCATAGAGGGATTCCTTTAGGACATGTAGAATGCAGCAGTGACTTAAAGCAGCGTCTCTAACATGGGTTAAATTAGTCAGCCAATAGAAAAGATTATCGAGGATGCAAGAAGAGCTTTAATGGAATATGATGATAGCTCCTTGCAAGAGTAACAATAGACATTTGATACACAAGAAATTAAACGAAAAGAAAGATTAATTAAGCATGAACCTAGTAAATCAGTACCTTAGAGACAAATTGAAGAAATGAAAATGAAATTTGATACTGAGAGCATCAGCATTATTGGTGGAGGAAGTAACTAAAATATGGATTAAAATACATTTGTTCATGATAGTGCACAAAAGAGTTAATTTTCTACTGATTAACATACGCCAGTCCGATAAAATAAGAGCCCAAAAAGTGAAAGCAACCTAATTTCTCAGCCTATTTCTAGTGAACCTCTAACTAATTCTAATAACATACTGGAAGAGGACTAAGAGCAAGAATAAGAGGATGATAATTATTCAATAAATAATCAGCAATATGCAGCTGAGGATAGTATTCAGCCGTTCAATCCACCAACTTAGTCTAATATGATAGCAGATCGTAACTAATCTACTATGAATAAGACACTAAGCTTGATTGAGGAGGAAAATGAGGATGAGTTTTATACAAATAATGAGGACGATAGAGTGTCAAGCTCTCAATTCAATAATAATTTTGGAGATACCAGGAAATTATACCCAAATGAAGTTACTGATGAATTGAGAAGATTAGATGAGGATAATTCTTAGTCAAATATTAGCAATACATTAGAAATTTCGCATGTTAAATCTATTGCAGACATGCCATTTATTGTAAGGGACATTGAAAGCATGGAAAAGCAATTCACTAAATTCTTAGAACAAATCTACAATTGAAAGATACTAAATGGAAATAATTTAAGAAATAATCTGAATTATAATTAGAATACTAACTTAATCTTAATTTCATAACTTCAGCATATAATTTATAATTTCTATTAATTTAAAAATGAGTACTCCTGCTAGAAGAAGAATTCTCGCTGATTGGAAGAAATACCAAAATGAGGGTGCTGGAATGGGGATTTTGCTTTCCATAAACTCGGATAATATGATGAGATGGGAGGCTGTGATTTTCGGCCCTGATGATACTGAATGGGAGGGTGGAATTTTTAATTTATCAATGGAATTTACAGAAGAGTACCCAACCAAGCCACCAAAGGTGGTATTCCTGACTAAGATGTACCATCCTAATATCTATGTAAATGGAGACATTTGCTTAGATATTTTGTAAAAAAAGTGGACTTAGTTCTATGATAGTATGGCCATTATGTAATCACTGCAGGTAAAGATTAAATGAGTTAGTAAATATTTAAATAGTAACTATTGACTGATCCGAATACTGAGAGTCCCGCCAATAATGAAGCTGCTTAAAGATTTGATAGTAATTCATCATTATTGCTGATAACTTATTGTAGATGATAGAGATTCGTACATGGATAAAGTTAGAGAATGTGTAATTAATAGCTGGGTAATGAGGTAATGATACAAATGTAAATAATTGTTATTCTCTTAATATTTCGATCAAATTATTACTTTGATATCTTTCCTAATGGGGTTTTGGGGTTTTGGGGTTTTGGGG